CCTCCTAACGGATCCATTCGTCTCTGGCTCTGTCTAGTTCGTCGCAAGTTCGATTCAAGTTCGACTCCGGTTCGACCCAGGTTCGACTCAAGTTCGACTCGAGTCAACGGACGTTCGATGCACGAGTGGAGCGAGTGGTTCCAGGAAGGTCCCGGAATGAACCTCTAAGGTGCGGTCGGGAGCTGTCGGGGGCAACGATGCGGGGGGATCGGTATAGGGGGGGGGGGGGGCGCATCGACCTCGAATGGGCGATACATCGCCGATAGATCGGCGATAGGCCCCCATTGTGAATCCGCACGTTCCTGGGAAGGTTGGGGCTATCGGGCCCATATCGGCGGTCAATCGGCGATTGGGGGTCGATGCGTCCCCCCCTATGCCTATCCCCCCCTATCGTTGCCCCTCCACTTTGGCTTAGCGTGTCGCGCCGCCCATTCTGGCCCACCAAGCTCCCGCGCGGCACGCCAAGAATTTCCAGTCCCCGACAGCCAGGACCCCGAGCTCTCCCCCGCCACCGGCCCAGCCCCGAGGAGCCCAGCGGCACGCCATATCCGTTCGCAAAGCACAGCGTGTCGCTTGGACCGCCACCACCTGGAGGGTTTCTCCGAAGGGCTTAGGCGACCCGTCCTCCTCCTCCTCCTCCTCCTCCTCCTCCTCCTCCTCCTCCTTCTCCTTCTCCTCTTCCTCCTCATCCTCCTCCTCTTCCTCCTCCTCCTGCTCCTCCTCCTCCATCTCCTCCTCCCTCCTCATCCTCCTCCTCCATCTCCTCCTCCCCCTCCCCCTCCTCCACCTCCTCTTCCTCACCCTCCTCGGGTCGCCTACTGCCCCGGGGGAAACCGTGCACCCCCACCCCGAGATCCTGGCGTCGCAACCTTTGTCACGACGGGCGATGATGCCTTGTTTCGGGCCCCGAGATCATCACAGATCAATCGGGCTCGAAGATGTCGCGACGGGCGATGATGCCTTTTTTCCGGGCCCCGAGACCATCACAGATCGATCGGTTTCGAAGAGTGGCGCAGAGATATCGGGTTCGGGCCGTTTGTCGTGATGTTTCCTCGCGTTGCTCAGTGTTTCGCGCCGTCGGGTTCAGGAGAGCTTGATGCGTAGAGACTATCCCCGCCCTGCCAAGTCGGTTGGCGAATTGCCTGGTTTCGCTTCTCGGGGGCTTCCAGGAGGGGGGTGATGACTGGGGGAGGTGGGCATCGTGGCGGGGGCCCATGAACTCTCCCCAGATTTCGCGACCCTCTTCTCGGTACGTCCGTTGCCCCCTCCACACCCCCCCCTCGTCCGGGCCGTTCCTTTGGTCCACATCGGGGAACTTGTTCGTGGCCGAGGCTCGCCGTGGCCAGAGAAGCCCCTTCGTTCCTGATGGTAGCACGATGACTGCATCGGAACGTCTTAGCGGAGGTTTTTCTTTGTTTTCGGCATCTTGGAGCCCTCGCCAGGCTTTGGGACCGTCAACAAAGCGGTCCCGAACGAAAGCAAATTGGTTCTGGGGAACAGGTCCATAGCCCCAGGGGCCCCTCAGTGAAAAAGCAAGACATCGGAGGTGTGGGATTCCGATTCGACCCGCCGGCATCAGCTGGGGCCAGCCGCTGGAGCCAGGCGTCGGCGATCCGATGTTGTCAATCCGATCCGGGTCGACTCGAATCCGTTTTTATTCCTTCCCTGGCGATGACGGGCCTCACCGGTGAGGGGGAAGGGGGCCAGTGACGTCTTGCCTGGCCTCGCCTGCCTCGCCCCCCCCGTCCCCTCCCAGCTCCCTCTTCCCCTCTCCTGTCCTCGTGTGAAGCACCGTACAATAGAATGAAGGGGACGAGGACGACGAGAGAAGGAACACCACGACGGCGACGACGACGACAGGGGGAAGGAGAAGGAGGAGAGGGAGGATCGAGGAGGAGGAGGAGTAGGAGGAGTAGGAGTAGGAGGAGGAGGAGGAGGAGGAGGAGAAGGAGGAGGAGGAGGAAGAGGAGGAGGGACAGAGAGAGGCTCTGCCGTGGCAGATCCCTATGGGCATCTGCTATCCGAATTGTCTTTGGCTACTCATAGGCGCTCCCAGACGGCGCCAGCGCGAAATGCGAAGCGGCCTATTCGATGATGCGTCTGTTGTCGGCTCGTGCTCTGGGAGGGGATGGGGCGCTCCTGCGCACGAGGCGAAAAATGGGCCCGCCGTTGTGGTCCTCCTCGTCCTCTTCCTCTCGTGGGCAGCTGCCTCCATCCGACCACTCAGGAGAATGAAGGCAGTGCGCTGTTGCAACGGTTGGGCCGGAGGCGGCACCCGTACATCTCATGCTTTTGCGCCATTCCGCACGCCCCCAGCGCGCCGCGGCAGTGTGGCGCGCGCGTCGTTGCACAGTGAAGCACGGCGAGCAACCGCCCCTCTCGGGCAAGGTGCCCAGACCCCTCCCAAAGCACGAACCGATAACCGAAGTGTAATCAAGCAGCGCAGTTCGGCCTGGGCCCCAGTGTCAGTGTATCGTTTCACCGACCCCCCCTCCCCATCCTCATCCCCCTCGAGACCCCCACCAAATTACCACCCCAGGTGGGGATACACCCCTGGAAGCCCGAAGGGAACGGCCTACATCTTCATCCAGGGGGGTAGATCGGCCAGCGGGGCCCAGGCCACGCCGCGGGGGATGGGGGTCGGATAAACGATGCTCAGAAGTGCAATCAAGCAGGTTGTTTCGGCCTGGGCCCTAGTGCCTCGCCCCTTCTCTCCTTTCGGTTCGTTCTTGCATCGTCCTGTCTTTGTGCGCAGCAGCTCGCTGTGCAGTGAGGAGGAGGAGGGCGACGAGAGACGGCAGAGGAGGAGGGAAAGGAGGAGGCAACGGGGGAGGGAAGGGACTGGATGGAGTGAAACCATGTTCAGCAATCCCCTACGTTGCGCTCAGGCATCCGTAGCTACCATCGTAGGTCCCTGCACATATCAGTAGCATGGTGCGCATTCTGCCATCGCAGATCCTCATCGATATCTGCTAGTTGAGCCTTCTTGGCTAATCGCACGCATGCCCCAACGTCGCCAGCACGAACCGTGACGTTACTTGGGGGGCTGGGCGGTCCGGGTCGGTAACAGCCGCTATCTGGAAATATGGAAAATGCTCTCTTCGCTGGCGGTCCGATCCGAATCCGATCTGGTTTCGCGTTTCGACTTGGCTCTGGCCTGCCAGGCCCAGCGCCCCCCCCCCCTTCACTCCACAGTGAGTCATGAGTTCGCATGGTGATGAGCGAGCTCTGTCAACGGCGTCAGCTTGGGCCCGAAGAGTCGGCAGCACCTCATGCTTGCTTGGCACTTCAGCATATCTAGCCATGGTCGAGATTCGCTGGCGAGTTCTCTCCCGCAGTCTCCGAGTTCCTCGTCGCGGAGCTGGCCGCTCAGAAAAAAAGGGGAATGCCCATGGGGGCTATACGGGCGCACCCCCATCGGGGGCGGGTGCCCCCTCATCTTCTACCCCTGAGTTGGGCAATGGGTTGGTTCCAGTCGAACAGCTCCACAGAGTCTGGGATCGAGCTCGCTATGGGCAATACCTTTCCTCGGAAGTGTTTGCAGTGTCTGCATGTTGTTGTCACCGTTTGGGCGTCCTGGAGAGTTCTCGTCACTGCGGATGGGTTGCCCTAGAAGTTTTATTCAAGCACGCACGCTCGGGCATGTCCAGGAAGGTGGTTTCAGACCTCCCCCAAGGCGCCTGGTGGCCTCCTCTCCAGGTTGTTGGCCCCGTCGAGGAGGATCGAGGATCGAGGTCAAGGCTTTTGTGGATCGAGGTTCGAGGATCGAGGAGGTTCGAGGATCGAGCTTCGAGGATCAAGGAGGATCGAGGATCGAGGATCGCGGCGGGGGGCCCTCGTGGCCGAGCTGGACGCAGCGCGAGAGCGGGACGTGGATGGCGTCCCAGGGCGGAAGTCCAGTGACCAATTCTGAACAATGTGTGCCTAGGCACTTGACGACTGTGAATGCAAGCCATGTGTTGCTTAATATGTCTCTCTCACTCCTCCTCCACCTCCTCCTCCTCCTCCTCCTCCTGCCGCCCCTCCCCCTCCCTCTCCACCTCCCCCTACCCCTTCCCCTCCTCCGTATAACGCCTTGTTTAGCAGGCGCATTGGCTGTGATCGCTTGAATTCCGACTTTTCCCGCCTACGCGCTAGATTGCGCATTGTTTCGTGCTCGTGCTCGTGCTTGCCAACTGCAGTTGGCACGTCAAAGAAGAAATCGGCATTTCAGCGGGTACACCGCGGGAGTTTCTGCTCCCCCGATGGCCCTGGGGGTCCGCAGAAGCCGTAGGCCACCTCAAAGGGAGCTCAAAGTTCGACGACAACGTGCACCGAAAGATGTCTTTTTGCAAGATTTCTGCTCGTATGGTATAACTGTAGAAGACAATCACGCTGGAGGTTTTTGGCGTCGGGGTTTCCTTTCTGGGCCGCAGACCCGTCGGACAACAACTCGGGATTGAAAGCCGGTCCCAGGAAGGGGTCCAGAGATCCGTTGGCTGGGGACTCGGAAATATCGAGTCGTCGGAGGTCTGGGTCCGTCTTCCTTCCTCCTCTTCCTTCCCATTCCTCCCTTCTTTTCCCCACTGTTCCCTCGCCTCACTTCCAAGCCTTCTCCCATTTGTTCCTCCTCTAATCCCCCGCCGCGGCCGCCTCCAAGCGCTCCGAGCAGCTGAAGGTCGAGGCCCATTGGGAGTGAACCCCAGACTGCTGGTCTTACTTTCATTTTCCGTGTTCCACGGCGCTCGCTTTCAGGCCATTCCTCATCTTGCAGGCCGCTCGAGCTGATTCGCTAAACAACCTCCTCCCACTGGCCTACCCCTTCCTTGGTGAGCCCATGTTCTACAACGACTACCATAGGTAGTTAGGCCGAGGGAGAAGAGAGGATGGGAATGTCTTCCTCCTCCTACTCATCCTCATCCTTCTGATCCTCCTCCTCCTTTTCCTCCTCTTTCTCCTCCTCCTCCTCCTCCTCCTCCTCCTCCTCCTCCTCATCCTCCTCCTCCTCCTCCACCTCTTCC